AAACTATCCATTATGTATTTGTGTTCTGAAGAGCGTCAAATGTTCACTCAGTTTTTGTCAAGTGCTGAGTTCTGCCAGCTCGTGAATCCTCTCATTATAACAACGTGTAGATACGATGTAAATATAAGATTCATTGTGCAGTGCAGACAGCTTCATTGATTAACGGAACGTTGTGAGGTCGTGATGAACTGAAGTGAAGGACAGCTTTTAGTGATTATAGAGGGAGCGCTCTTTGCGCACTTTCTAGGCTGCATAATCCTGTCCGACCTTCTCAAAACAGATTAACAGATTAACCTTAGAGAAGAAAGTATTCGTGTCATGATTTCATTTGTCTTGATGTTTCAAAATGACTCGCTTGGTTGCTTTTCCTATGCGCACTGACGCAAACTGCTGTGCACTCAAATACAAATGCACACATGCAATGACTGGAGATTTTCACTTAATAATAGATTACATTTTCGAATTGTTTCACAGCAAACCCTACCGTACGCCTTAAGAACACTTGGAATACGGAACGAGTTGCATGGGATAATTTTGACATTTGAATCCTTTTTGTAAAAAGATTGAAGAAGCTTACAATTAATTAAATGGACAAGTGCAAGCATTTTTTTAAATAATGTCTTCTTTTGTGATCCGAAAAAAATAAGGTAGCCTAATAATTATTTACTTAAGTTGTGAAGGGGTAAATAAACAATAAACTATGAGAGAGAGCGAGCAGAATAAGGGTTAGGCGTGAAAGAGCACATATTTATTATGTTAGGGGCCCATACCTTAAATTTGCTTAGGGCCCCCAAATCACTAAGTCCATCGTAATGATATCGTATGACTGAGAGTATGTCACTATGTCAATCTGCACAAGCGCAAACAAGTGAAGTGATGATGAAAAGTCTCAATGCTCTTGGACTGTTATATCAGAACTCTTAGAATACTGCTTGGCCCATTAAATTTGAGAACCAGAACTAACAATTGCATAACAAAGGTTTTTAGAATTTTCTGAATAAAATGTCAGGGATCTTCCTCAGGGATCAGTTCTTGGACCCTTCCTCTTCTCCATATACACTACATCACTGGGTCCCATCATACAGGCACATGGCTTCTCCTACCATTGCTATGCTGATGACACACAGCTCTATCTCTCATTTCAACCAGATGATCCAACAGTAGCTGCACGGATCTCAGGCTGCCTGGCGGACATCTCGGCATGGATGAAAGAACATCACCTACAGCTCAATCTGGCAAAGACCGAGCTTCTTGTTTTCCCTGCCACTCCATCTCTACAGCACAATTTCACCATCCAGCTAGGTTCTTCTACAGTTACCCCATAAACTTCGGTCAGAAATATTGGTGTAATCTTTGATGACCAGTTGACCTACAAAAGACCCCATTGCAAAGACTGCTCGATCTTGTAGGTTTGCATTGCACAACATCAGGCCTTTTCTAACGGAGCATGCTGCACAACTTCTTGTCCAGGCCACGAAAAATCCAGCTAAATTTTTGTTTTCCATTTCTTAAACAAAACGAAAATCAAACCGTTTCTCATTTCTCTTTATTTTCTAGTAGACAGTAGAAAGTAGAAAATCAAATGACCAAAAGATACACTGACCGATGACGCATGGTAATCTTTGAATTTCAATACAAAATAGAGCAATAGCAGACGCACGACTGGTCTTCAACGAGCCCAAAAGAGCCCACGTTACACCTCTCTTTAGCTCCCTGCACTGGCTGCCGGTTGCGGCTCGCATCAAGTTCAAGACATTGATGCTTGCATATAGAACAGCCACAGGCCTACCTGCCTACCTCAACTCACTATTACGAATCTACATCACCTCCAGAAGTCTGAGATCCGCTAGTGAGCGACGCCTCATGGTACCATCACAGAGAGGCACAAAATCACTTTCCAGAACATTCTCGTTCACTGTTCCTGGCTGGTGGAACGATCTTCCCCCCCCAATCCGGAATGCTGATTCCCTGACAATCTTCAAGCGACAGCTGAAAACTCATCTCTTTCAACACTATATGATTTCATCTTAAAAAAAAAAATTGTCTTTCTCTTTATTTATTCCTTCCCTTTCTAGCTTGTACTTGTTTGGAACAGTGCCTGAAACTTAGTATTACGAGCACTTCCTGTGTCTGTTTGCCTCTTTAAGATGAATCGCTTTATGTATTCCCCAATTGTAAGTCGCTTTGGATAAAAGCGTCTGCAAAATGACTAAATGTAAATGTAAAACTGTAAAGAGCATCAGACTGAAGTTACTGCAAAGTGAGCATTTTGTTCTCAAAAATGACTTTTCTATATATGTGCACCAGTTAGAATACCAAGTATTGTAGTTCTGCACGTAGGCCACTTTGACTTCGCATGGGGTTTCATTGACCATCTAATGGATTGTACATGGACCATCTGAAGGTCATTGTATAATCTGCAGTGATATTGCAAATGAAGCAGTATGTCTGTGTCTGGTCCATCCTTCTAGCTGGAGAGAGAGATGTGAAGCATGTTTAATGGTGAGCTGCTCTCTGTACAGCACAGCTGTGTTTATTTCTGCTAGTGTCAGGAAGTCATTGACTTCAGTGCGATCACTTGAGAAGCAGATAAGACCTTTTAACTATTTAGCAACTGTCTTACACTATTTAAGTGTGAAATAGGTCACGTTTTGGTGCATTCCACAAGCTGTCATTTTGGCAGACTGCCTTCAATATAAGCTGTTTTTAGTCTAACGAGGAAGGCTTAAGTTCTGAAACTTACAGGATGTTTTTTTTATAGCACAATGATCTCTTTTATATCTAAAGATCAAGGGAAGTTTGGTTTGTCAGGTCATGACCCCTTTAAAGTGCACTGACTAGTTGCCAGAGTGTTGATTGACAGGCTGTTCTGGGTGGATGTTAGGGTGTTGGTAGTGTTAATACCAGCGGTGGTTTTGGTTTGTTGTGTGGTTCTTGTGTATGTCAGTGGCAGTTCTGCTGTTAAAAGGAAATGAGTGGAAATGTGCCAGTATCTGTTTAAATCCATTTTAAATTTAAGAGACACGAGCAGCACTGCATGCCATGATTTTACTGCCTATGTAAAATATCCACGGTGATGCACATGAGTAATCAGGTCACAGCTGTCGCCTGTTCACTTATGAATAGCCCTTATTATGAAAGTCTTTCTGCCGCTGGTGGTCTACACAACATCAACTGCAACTTTATTTTATCTTTCCTAAAAATACATTCTGGGTTCAAACTGAGCATGCTGCGCAATATTCATGTGCTAATTTTTTGTTGCAAATAATACACTTTTTGAAATTGTATTTATTTATTTAACTTTACTTGTGTCACCCTAAGATAGTGAACACCTGCTGTTTTGTTACTTTCATATGGCTGCATTAAACTACAGAAGGGTACGTTTGAAGTATGTGTGTAAATATGTGCGTGTCATGTGATATCATGTCTTTTTCTTTGGAAATTGGAACAAAAACTGTTGAAGATGAGGTATGTGTCTTCAGAAGATGTGCTAATGTGACTCTTCCTCCACTCCATCCTTGTTGATTGGTTGTTACTGTATTCTTTATCTGTGTGCTCTCAGTCTTTTAGGGTAGAAAGAAAGAAGAGGAAATATGTCTGGCCCGCCACCACCGCCCCCTCCTGGCCCTCCTCCAACCTTTGCACTGGTATGACAGCATTGTTCACATCTTCATATTTTGATCATTAGCTTAACTTAGTACTTAAATGTATCAAAATATTTATACTGAACCTAAAACAGTTATTTTGATACTGATTATGTTATTAGTTCATTTGTATGAGCTACAATAGTATCTTACTTAAAAAAAATGTTCTGGTGAATCTACAGGATGTTCATTTGTTTTCAGGAAACAGTCCCAATTGTGCCTGAAGTTTTTTTATATCATTTCATTTGACAAGGCTACTGTTAAAGATACTGTATTTTGCCACCTAAAATTACTCTCTTTGAGTCTTTATTGATGTTGTCCAAATAACTAATAACTAGAAAATAGCTGAGTACACTTTTTATGCCAAGAAACCAAGTAACCAAAATCAAATACCAACTTTATTATGCAAGTTGAAATTCTGGTCATACTTTTTTTTCTAAGCACATTTGACCAATTCCAAGTGAATAGCCCTTATTATGAAAGTCTTTCTGCCGCTGGTGGTCTACACAACATCAACTGCAACTTTATTTTATCTTTCCTAAAAATACATTCTGGGTTCAAACTGAGCATGCTGCGCAATATTCATGTGCTAATTTTTTGTTGCAAATAATACACTTTTTGAAATTGTATTTATTTATTTAACTTTACTTGTGTCACCCTAAGATAGTGAACACCTGCTGTTTTGTTACTTTCATATGGCTGCATTAAACTACAGAAGGGTACGTTTGACGTATGTGTGTAAATATGTGCGTGTCATGTGATATCATGTCTTTTTCTTTGGAAATTGGAACAAAAACTGTTGAAGATGAGGTATGTGTCTTCAGAAGATGTGCTAATGTGACTCTTCCTCCACTCCATCCTTGTTGATTGGTTGTTACTGTATTCTTTATCTGTGTGCTCTCAGTCTTTTAGGGTAGAAAGAAAGAAGAGGAAATATGTCTGGCCCGCCACCACCGCCCCCTCCTGGCCCTCCTCCAACCTTTGCACTGGTATGACAGCATTGTTCACATCTTCATATTTTGATCATTAGCTTAACTTAGTACTTAAATGTATCAAAATATTTATACTGAACCTAAAACAGTTATTTTGATACTGATTATGTTATTAGTTCATTTGTATGAGCTACAATAGTATCTTACTTAAAAAAAATGTTCTGGTGAATCTACAGGATGTTCATTTGTTTTCAGGAAACAGTCCCAATTGTGCCTGAAGTTTTTTTATATCATTTCATTTGACAAGGCTACTGTTAAAGATACTGTATTTTGCCACCTAAAATTACTCTCTTTGAGTCTTTATTGATGTTGTCCAAATAACTAATAACTAGAAAATAGCTGAGTACACTTTTTATGCCAAGAAACCAAGTAACCAAAATCAAATACCAACTTTATTATGCAAGTTGAAATTCTGGTCATACTTTTTTTTCTAAGCACATTTGACCAATTCCAAGCCACATCAATCTTAATAACTACTATTAATTTTGTATTTAATAATTTATAAGTGATATATAATTGTTAACCAGGGCTGGAAGTGAAAAATGCTTAGGTGTGCATAATTATTAGAAATGCCTAAATCTTAAAAAAAAGAGAGATTTAAGTCAAATATTATGAAATGCCCATGAGAAATATTCAAAACTAATGCAATACAGAAACTGCAAAAATAAATCATGACCACTGGACAGCAAAATGCGAAATGTAGTTGGGACTACTATAGTATAGTATAGTATAGTATAGCATAGCATATAGCTTAACATAGCATTGCATAGCATAGCATAACATAGCATAGCATAGCATAGCATAGCATAATATAGTAGTCCTATTGTTATTTCACACCAGAATATGACCAGAATATCAGCTTGCATAATAATTATGGACACACTGTATTTAAATCATGTGCTCACAAATGCATACATGTAGCATGTGTAATTATGTAGTGTACACCATACTTCTGTTCAAAGTTCTTGGTATTCAAGGCTCAACAGCAATTTTGAGTTGATGGCAATGTGTGTGGTTTATGGAGCCTGTCTAATTTACAAAGACTATCACTAGGCAAACACAGAGAAGCCAAATCTGAGCAGATCTGAGCATCAAGGAAGAAACGCTTTACTGTCAGATATCAGCAAAGGAGCTCGACTGAAGAAAGCCGTCACCAATGATCGGAGTTCCCCAGTGCTGGACAGTGAGTTCACCTTGTTTTCTGCAATATATTTTGTAACATATTTTATGTGTGTGTGTGCATACATCCTTTATTTTTTAAAGAGTGTAGAGCCAAAGACATTTGTGACCTGTGCTGGCAAAATGAGTCACAATGACCACATTTTCAAAAACGAGTTATTTTTTATTTTACATTCACCACTAAAAGACCTTAAAAATGGTGTATGACTTGTTGGAATTGGACAAAAAATGACTGCGCTTCACCCGTTTGAAGTCGATAGAGTCTGCAAAGTCCATTTTGAGAAAAATCGAGTTAAATTTTCCTGAAGGTTCCGAAGCAAAATCACCTAGCAACATTACATCTTTTCCTCCAGTTCTTAATAATTACTATATTAGTCTAATAATAATAATATAGCTGTTTTTATTTTATCTTTGTTATTGTAAATAAGAACAGATGTAAAAAAAACAAAAACAGAATGAATATAAGAAAGAAACAAATAATGCGTTACCTTTTTATTTTACATCTAAACAAAAGCATTCAAGAAAAACAAATAATCAAATGTAAAAATCCCTTAGTGTGTTCAATACAAATAAATTGATTATTGTAACTACAAAAGCAGTTCAATCAAGAGCAGTGAGTGATTCCCTCTTTTCTTTTATTGTTAGATTAACATTAATGAACAGATCTAATATAATGTTACACATCAGATGTTTTTCCCCAACAGTTCCCCAAACGTTCACTTAAGACTTGTATGTTTGCGTGAATACTTAAATACTGTAATTTCTAAAAAAAAAAAGCAAAAAAAAAAGCAAAAATCTATTTATCGGGATCGTGCGCTGTCGGAAGCACCTTTATGCGCGCTCTTTGGATGACGAGCAGAGAAAAGGTACTCATCTCAGAAAATGTACAAATAAAGATAATTTTTGATGTTTAATTACTATTTGGAGCATTGGGATTACTAGACAAGGTCTTAATGAACTCATCTTTGTGAAAACCTCAAAGTTGACTAAAATCTAAATTTTTTCTCTTTTTTGCGTGTAGCTCAAAATTAGTCCGTGCGCATTCCGACTCATTTTGCCAGCACAGGTCACATTTGAAGAATTCATTTTTGTGATCAATAAAACTAATTAACTAACTAACTAACTAAATAAATAAAAATTAAATAAATATTACATAAGATAAATATTACAACAACAACAACAACAACAACAACTACAACTACCACTACTACTACAGCTGCTGCTAATAATTCTAATAATGCTATTTATAATTTAATCATATTATTTTTGCATTTTGAAAAAAATTGAAATCAAACAATAATAAAAACTTGCATACTTACAAAATACTTACATACTATTCTATACTTATTTCTTTAATAATAATTATAATTGTATTTATAATTAAATCATGTGTGCAATGGGGTAAAAAACTAACATCAAAATGTTTACATAATACATACTGTACTATACAATACTATACTATACAATACTATACTATACGATACGATGCTATACAATACGATACGATACGATGCTATGCTATGCTATGCTATGCTCTGCTATACTATACTATACGATACGATGCGATGCGATGCTATGCTATGCTATGCTCTGTTATGCGATACGATACGATGCGATGCGATGCGATGCGATGCTATGCTATGCTATGCTATGCTCTGCGATGCGATGCGATGCGATGCGATGCGATGCTATGCTATGCTATGCTCTGCGATGCGATACGATACGATACGATACGATGCTATGCTATGCTATGCTCTGCTATGCTATACGATACGATACGATACGATGCGATGCGATGCGATGCGATGCTATGCTATGCTATGCTATGCTATCCTATTCTATGCTATGCTATGCTATACTATACTATACTATACTATTCTATGCTATGCTATGCTATGCTATGTTATACTATACTATACTATACTATACTATTCTATTCTATTCTATTCTATGCTATGCTATGCTATACTATACTATACAGTATAATGCAATAATAATTCTAATCTTATTTATAATTTAATCATACTATACGATACTCTACTACACTTATATAATGTAATAATTATAATCTTCATTTTTCATTTTTCAATCTTTTTTTGCATTGTGACAAAAATTGAAATCAAAATGTTTACTATACTATACTATACTACAATTTTATGCATTGAGATAAAATTTTATATCAAAATGTTACTATACTATATTATACTATACCATACTATACTATACTATACTTGTAATGACAATTCTAATCCTATTTATTATTTAAATGAAATAAAAATGAGACTATACTATATACTGCACTATACTATATTATACTATATACTAATATACTATACATATATAGTAATCCTAATCATAATTGACTCATTATATTGTTTGAATTGTGACAAAAACTGAAATGTGCTATACTTAGAACTTTTCTTCATGTTCTTTGTTTTATGATGACACTAAAGCAGTAAGACCACCGATGCCTCCTACAACGGGGAGATTCCCAGCACCCAGCAGCCCAGCAGGAAGCAGACCCCCGCTCCCAACCGCCAGACGACCTTCTCCTGGGAGGGCCGGACCCCTACCGCCCTCGTTTCGCTCACCCCAGCACAGCTCTCCCAGCGGCCCACCGCTTCTACCTGGAGGCCAACCGTCAAGTTCCTCATCTTCTGTTCCACCCCCCAGCCAGCCGGGCAGACGTCCAAGCCTTCCTCCACCACCGAGAGAGTCCCAGTCTTCCTTCCCTCCACACCCAATGCCCGCAAGTGCCCGGCCGCCTTTACCCACAATCCCAAGCAGGCCCTCAGATGACTTCCCTCCCCCTCCACCACCCACTGGAGGAAGAAGAGTGTCATTTTCTCGAGATGGACCACTACCACCACCGCCGCCAGCAACTGAGAGTAAACCATTGAGTTCTCAGAGGCCTATGGGTAATCCGCCTCCATCCTTACCTCCAGCAAGAGGAGGGGCCCCACCCATCCCACCATCCCCACGGGACGACCCCTACACAAGAGGCCCTCCTAGAAACAGCCTTCCTCCTCCACCACCTCCTGGACGCTCCAGCCCACTGCCGCCACCACCCAACGAGAGGCCGTCTCCATCGGGAAGAAGATCATCCATACGGTCAGGTATGAGCAAGGTCGTTCCTGTTTTGCTGTTTATTTTTTACTGTCACGATATTAAGTACATTTTTTTTCCAAAGTCAAATTTATTTATTAAATGTATTTTTTTTTTCACAAATAATTTTTTTTTATAAAGCAGCTTTACAGAAAATGCTGTTAATGTGAATACTTACTATATATATCCAACGTCATATAAAGAACTGTGCAAAAATATGCAATATAAACAATCAAGTAGTTGAGACTTGCTATGTAGCATACTATGTATACTTTATATCCAACTCTGTGCAATAATATAGTTTACTTTTTGCAACATTATTTGAAATTCGACTAGTATGACTAACTAATATGATGTTAAACTTTAAATATTTGATGTTAATATTGTATTTATAAAACATACATTGCTGTTCAGAAGTTTGAGGTTGTTAAGATTTTTTTTTTTTAAGTTGCTCATGCTCATCAAGGGTGCAGTCTTCAGTTGCTTCATATTTTTGTGGAAAACATTATACCTTTTTTCAGGATTCAGAATAGAAAGTTCAAAAGAACAGCATTTATTTTAAACGGAAATCCTAAACATTATGCATATCTTTACTGTTGATTTTTATCAATTTAATGTGTCCTTACTGTATAAGATTATTTTCTTTAAAAAAATGTAATGACCCCAAAGTAGATATTAGTAGTAGTATGAATTGCATATGCTTTTAAAGTGTTAAAGTGTTAACATTTTCAGATAACTAAAATGCGCACTTGAAAATACCTTCAGACACACAGTTCAGATGACTGTTATGAGGTATATGAATGAGAGGAATTGTTTTATTTTGTGGACTCATCATTTTGTGACTGCTCCTCCCCTTCAGGTCCTCTACCACCTCCACCCACTGGAGGAGGAGGCAGAGGAGTGTCTCCCCCCGTGCCTCCTCCTAATCGTCCCGGTGGATCAGGCAGACCCCCTCTACCCTCAGACCCTCCCAGAGTGCCCAGCTTCCCTCCACCACCCCCCGACACCATCAATGGCTACCAGTGCCCTCCACCATCTGCTACAGGTAGGACTGCCACAGGAACCTTACACCTGCTGATGAGAGAGAGGCAACCTATAGGTCAACAATACAAAAGGCAGTGAGTTTAAAGCTGAAGAGTGGCATTTCTGCATTACTACCAGAGCTGCAAATAAAGTAGGTTTTCTGGGATAGCAGAAAGTATTTTAAAAGAAAATGAAAACATACTATTGGGCAGTTTAACAAGTTTTAGCTTAAAGGAATAATTAGCACAAAAATTACAATTCTGTCATAATTTACCCACTCTCAAGTTGTTCCAAGCTTGTGTGACTTTCTTTTTTCTGTGAAATGTAAAAAAAAAAAAAAAGGTGACAATTTCAAAAATGTTGGTAATCGAACCGTTTTGGTTCCCATTGAAATTCATTGTATGGACAAAAAATACAATGGAAGTCAATGGGCACTGAAACGGTTTGATTACCAGCAGAACATCTTCTTCTGTATTGCGCAGATGAAAGAAAGTCAGGGTTGCAATGATGTGAGGTTGAGTAAATGATGACAGAATTGTCATTTTGGGTGAACTATCCCTTTAATGTCTATGGACAGACACAGCATGATGTCGATATAAATATTGACTCAATATGGTAATGAAACTGCTATTGAAAAACTGAGTGCTAATGTAATTGTTATTGATTGACTCTGTTTGGCTGCACATATTCTCTTGTATTCTTTTCCTATAGATGAGTGGGGGATGAGGTTTTCCTTCCATCCTCTGTCTGAATTACCTCCACCAGAGCCGTACGTGTCCTTCTCCAAGTCTTACCCCAGCAAAGCTGGCGGCAAAGGTGAGCACTGCAGCATTTTGTGCAGAATTGTAATAAGAATTGTTTAAAAGTTATTCTTCAGTGTGTGTTGTGCAGTCCACCCTCAATGCATTTTTTTTTCTGCTTTTACATAAGACATGCATTTTTATGCAATATTTTAGTGTTTTAATGTTTAATAATCCGTTTGATCATTTCATATCTATTTGTATCTGTTTTCCAGGAATGAGAGACAGAGGAGCGCCACCCTTGCCACCAATTCCCAGATGAAATGCTTTGACATTATAATGTGAGCTGGATTTTCATCTGCTGAATGAGACTCAGGAACTCGTTTGTGAAAATATGAATGTTTTTAGCTTCTCAGTGACATTTTTTAAAATCACTTTTTCATGCATTTTAATCCTTTGGGGGTAATTTTATATCATGGTACAAATGTATGTCCAGATATGGCGATTAAAGTTCATTCTGTCATCATTTGAGAAAGTTTGTTTTAATCATTTATAGCATCATGTTATTCTGCACATTTCCCTAATTACAAAAATATCGAAATATTATATTTCGATTTATTAATGTCACAGACACATGTAGGTATATCATTTATGATATATTAAAGATGTTATAATCAAGGAAGTGTAGCTTAGTTGTTGTGAACTTCTGCCAAACCAAGCCACTGACATTGACCACACTGCCATCTCTTCAACCACACGTCTGTGTGTGACCTGGACAGTACTACTTTCTCAGTCTAGTAAAGATGCAATCTGATTGGCTGAAAGGGCACACATGTTTTATCAGGCCATTTGAAAAGCAAATACAATGAGCTTCCGAATTCAGCCCAGGACATTGTTTAGCAGCTTAAATGTATATTTTATGGTGAGTCTGCAGTCACTTGTTCCTACGCAAAAACTTCGACCAATAATTATTATTTTTTTTTTTAAATTGCAAATTGTACACAACAAGACAGGGAGCATCCAACAACATAAGGCACATCCACCATAAATAATATGAATAATCAACATTATACTCACAACAGTAATAGCAACAATGAGGGGGGGAAACACAAGGAGCAAGAAAGAATCAATAGAAGAAGTACATATACATACATATTGACCACCGCGACAAGACCACAGGAACCAGATGACTCCTCTGCACAATGTGACTTTGCTGCAGCCTGGAATTGAACTGCGGGTTTCGTCTGGCCAGAGGAGAACTGGCCCTCAATTGAGCCTGGTTTCTCCCAAGGTTTTTTCTCCATTCTGTCACCGATGGGAGTTTTGGTTCCTTGCCGCTGTCGCCTCTGGCTTGCTTAGTTGGGGACACTTCATTTCCAGCAATATTGTCGACTTGATTGCACAGATACTATTTAAACTGAACTGAGCTGGATGATGACATCACTGAATTCAATGATGAACTGCCTTTAACTGAAAAATGAGTGTTTACTATTGTCACTTTGCATTACTGACACACTATTTTCCTAATTAATGCTGTTCAGTTGCTTTGACACAATCTGTATTGTTAAAAGCGCTATATAAATAAAGGTGACTTAACTTGACTTGACATATAGACATCAAATAAAAATTAGTGCTGTCAAACAATTAATCGTGATTAATCGCATCCATAATAAACGTTTTTGTTTACATAATATATGTGTGTGTACTGTGTATATCTATTATGTATATATAAATACACAAACATGCATGTATATATTTAAGAAAAATATGTTTATATATTAAATATATATAATATAATATAAATTATATGAATATAGGGACAAACCCAGCAATTGGGTTGTTTTGACCCAGCGGTTGGGTTACTACCCAGAAGGTTGGGTTAAACATTTAACCCAACTGTTGGTTGAAAACAACCCAATCGCTGGGTTTGTCCATATTTTACCCAGCACTGGGTTGTATTTAACCCAGCATTTTTTTATAGTGTAGGAATATGGTACCATATTGAGTGAGGCTTTGCTAAGCACTCTTTAAGCCATTTTATTCTGAATGCACCGAGAAGAGATTCAAAGTCAATGGCTTTCAAACAGTTCGACCAATAATGCTAAATAAAAAATAAAAAAAATCAAATTAGCAGTACATTGTGACTCCTTCACGTAGAGAAATGCTGTCCTCTATCGGTCATCACGAGAACCTCTCTTGGTCGTATTTTGTAAGATGTCAAATGAATTAATACGATGAATTGTTCAGTTTTTCAGAATGAATACATTGTAATGTTGTAATGTTAATATTATTCCCCATATAATCGAGAGATTTCATAACTGTTTTTAATAAAAGAGTTGGAGCTCTCAAGTCTATTTTGGGCTTATGCAAAGCACCACGTGAAAGGTCCCTGCGCATGCGCAGAGTCTTGGCTGCTTTCTATTGGCGCTCTGCAGCTCGTGTGTTATGAGTGCTTCACTGCAGCGGTGTGTCTGTACTACTGCGATAACAGACACATGCTTCCAGCACTGAGCGAGCAGAGGCGAGCAGACCCGAGGCGGAAGAGCTGTCATGGAGCTGAGTTCATTGCTCAAAGTCATCTGGATGAGACAGCATGAGTGAAAGTGTGTTTCTCATACACTAGATCGGATTTACAGGAATCAGCTGATCCGGTGAGTCTGTCAACAACTCACTACTGTACATCTAAAGTAGACTCAGGTGTTGATCAGATCATTTGACCATGCGGAATTATAGCTGACTAGTAGACGACAAGAAAGAGCCACAAGTGGATATTTAGTACGATGGCAGGACCATAATATTATTAGTGATATCTTGGAGTAAATAACGTTACTTACGTAAATATAGTAATCATTCAGTACCATGGTACTGCCATCTGATGCCTTCACTGTATCATGCTACAGCGCTTTTTGAGTGCAGGGTCTGACTAAAAACATATTCCCATGTGTTTGTACTAATTTTACACAACGATTACAAAATTTGTCTAAAAAGGGTTTTATTTAAAGGTGCAATGTGTAATATTTACAACGATCTATTGACAGAAATGCAATATAATATACATAACTATGTTTTCAGATGTGTATAAGATCTTACTTAATTAACCGTTGTGTTTGTATTACCTTAGATTGAGCCTTCTCTAAAGGGAGGGGTGAGCGGGGGACTGAGCCGTTGGTTGCAATTCGCAACCTCACCGCTAGATGCACACTGCACCTTTAAATTTACACACTGCACCTTTAATGAAAAATTAGCCTATTATTAATAAGAGTTTTTTTTTTTTATATGTATTTTTTTACTCTTTATAAGCTCATTCTGGGGCCTGAAATGGAGGAATTTTGGTCAATACTGCTAATTAAACAATATTTTGCTTAATGTGTTTTTGTGCTGGCACCTTGGCTGGTTTAGGTCTGTCATGGATAAATAAAGATGACAATAAAACCACCAGTAGGTGGCAGCAAGTCCCTGTTTTAAAGGGGTGGTTCATTGCTATTTAACTTTTTTAACGTTAGTGTGTAATGTTGCTGTTTGAGCATAAACAATATCTGCAAAGTTACGAAGCTGAAAGTTCAATGCAAACGGAGATAACGTCTTTTAAAATTCTGGCAGTTTAAGGGGCCGTTCACTTGTTGCGCCTAAAAACGCGTGGAAAACGCTAGGCGCACCGCTTTCTGCTTTTTTCCCAAAGCGTTCGGGCGCTTGTGCTCCAGAGGCGTCTGCCGTTGCTAAGCAACCATGACCTCGCACTTCATGAAGACGCGAAAGTTTCAGCAAAGGATAAATGGATTTGCAGCACTAAAAATCACTTGCAGTAGCTCTGCTACTAAATTTATTTCAAAATGTCTATCCTGTACAGCTATGATCAGCTGTTCCTTCATCTTGGCTGAGCTTTCATTG